TCGAATATCCACAAAACGAAAATTCCAAAATTCGAAAAATCAAAAATTAAACAAATCGTAAAGTAAAAAATCTGAAGAACGGAAAAACTGAAAAATTGAAAAATCGAAACGGAAAAATTGAAAATCGAAAATTCTCCAGATTTTTTAATTAAAAATTTTTCTATTTTACATTTTTTGATTTTTACAATTTGAAGTTTTCACTTTTAGGTTTTCTATTTGCAAATTTCCTTGTTTTCAATTTCAAATATTTTAATTTTCCGATTTTTGACTTTTAATTTCTTCAATTTTTCAATTCTTAGATTTTCCACTTGTCAATATTTTAATTTTTTTCCTTTTTAGCGTATTCAGTTTTTAATTTTACTTTTTTTTATTTTGCGGTTTTTTAATTTTTCGTTTCTTCAATTTAAAAACCGAAAAATCGAGAAATAAAAAACAATGAAAAATCGGAATTTCGAAAATCGAAAAACTGAAAATCGAAAAATCGGGAAGCTGAAAAATCGACAAAACGAAAACTCGAAAATAAAAAATCGAAAAGTGAAATATCGGAAAACGAACTGAAGAACGGAAAAATTGAAACTTCTAGTTTCCAACAATCGAAAATTAAAAAAATCGAATATCGAAAATTCGGAAAAATAAAAAATTGGAAAATCTCGACAAAATTTTTCGACTTATCTACTTTCAAATTTTTCGTTTCTTCAATTTTACGATGCTTCAAATTCGTTTTTTCAATTTTTTAATTATAGTTGTTCGTTTATTAAAGGTTTTTAGGTTTGGAATTGCAATTTTCCTATAGTTTTCAATTTAAAATTATTTAATTTTCCGATTTTTGACTTTTGATTTCTTCAATTTTTTTCATTTTTCGTTTCACCAATTTTACAGTTTTTAAATTTTCAATTTTTGGATTTTCACTTGTTCAATTTTTATTTTTTCGCTTTTTAGAATTTTCAGTTTTTAAATTTCCAATTGTTCGATTTTTCAGTTTTTTAATTTTCCGTTTCTTCAGTTTACAATTTTGAAATTTTTCGACACCGACCAAAAACTGAAGAATCAAATAGGAAAATCTAAAATTCGACAAATTGAAAAGTCCAAAATTTGAAAAATCGGAATTTCGAAAAAGCGATAAATCGAAAAATCAACAATTGAAAAAACTTAAATTCGAAAATTCGAAATTTTGAAAAATCGAAGAACTGAAGAACGGAAAAATTAAAAATTGTACTTTTCAAAATCGAAAATTCTAAAATTTGGGAAAACGGAAAACTGGAAACTAGTCTAAAAACTGAAGAATGGAAAAATTGAAACATCGACAAATTAAAAACTCGTGAAATCGAAATGGAAAATCAAAAAATTTAAGAATCGAATTGAAAAATAAAAAAAACTGAGAAAACGATTAAAAATCAAAGAAACGGAAAGTCTAAAAATGGAGAAATGCAGAAATCGAAATTTCTAAAACTCGACAAATCAAGAAATCAAAAAATAGATAATCGAAAAATTGTAGTCGAGAAAACGAATAATTTAAGAAACTGACAAATCAAAACTAAAAAACTGAGTAATTGAAAAATCAAAAAATTTGGGAAGCAGAGAAAATCGAAAAGTCGAAATTCGAGAAATTGAGAAATCGGAAGATCGAAAAAGTAATAAGGTGACAAATACGGGAAAAATGCCACAAAAATAACGCCAAAAAAATGAGAACAATAATGAGATTTAATCAAAGGATAAAAAACCACCAAAAGGAAAGACTAAAAACAGCAAAAAAAGGCTAAAAAAACGAAAAAAGGGAGTAAATAAAGCAAAATAGTGACAAAAAAGGTGACAAAAAAACGGCCAAAAGAAGGACACGAAAACATAACTGAAAAAGACCATAAAAAAAAGGAATCCAAAAAAGGTTGGAAAAGGTGAAAAATCGAATTGAAAAGTCGGTTACTCGAAAAATCGAGAAATCTAAAAATAGAGAAACCAAAAATCGAAAAATCGAAGTCGAGAAATCGAAAAATCTAAGAATCTAACAAATCAAAAAATTGAATTACATACTGAGAAATTGAAAAATCGAAAAATTGAGAAATCGAAAAATTTGTATCTAAAGATCAATAAGTTGCAAAAAATAAAAAAAATGAGAAATCTGAAAATGGAAAAACTAAAAATCGAAAAATCAAAGTTGAAAAATTGAAAAATCTAAGAAATTAACAAATCAAAAAACTGAAAAACTCAGAAATTGAAAAATCGAAAAATTGAGGAACCGAAAAATCGAGAAATTTAAAAATCGAAAAATTGAAAATTCCACAAATCGAAAAATTGAAGTCGAAATTCGAAAAATAGAAAAATTGAAAAATGGAAAATCGGGAGATCGAAAAATAAAAAATCGCGAAACTGAAAATTCGAAAACTCAAAAATTGAAAAATCGACAAATTTAAAACTCGAGAAATCGAAATCGAAAAATCGATAATTTGAGAAATGGAAAAATGTAAAATTCAGAAGTCGATAAATAATCGAAAATTTCTAGCTGGGAAATTTCATTTTTGAAAAAGTTCTCTAAAAACCCGCAAAATTCTGGGATATAGATCTCGATTTGCTGATTCCAAAAATATAATGCTTTTATGGTCACGGAGCAATTTTTTCGAAGTATTCGGCCTAAAACTAAAATTTTTAAAAAATTCTAAAAACTACCATATTTCAATCAGGCATTCTGGAAAAACGAATTCGAAATCTACAATAAAATGTATCAGAGGTCTTCGAAACATACATATTTTCTAGATTTTTTAGGAAAATTTTCAATAATTTAAGTTTTTCACATTTTTATCAATTTTTTGGCCGTTTTTCAAGTACTATTTGAAAATTACCCAAAGACATTTTTTTGTAGATTGCGACTCGTAGAAGTTATTTTCGACTTCACTTCTTCGAAAAATAATCAACAATTTTTTCAGAATCGTTAAAATTGAAAACAATTTTCGAGATATTAAAAAAATATATTTCCAAACCAAATTTTTCAGGAAAATCTTAGTCCAGGGCCACCAACACGTTTTTTGAAATCAGTTCATGGAAATATATTTTCTAGAATCTTTTTAGAATTTTCAAAAATCTCAGTTTTTCTAATTTTGTATTAATTTTTTTACGGTTTTTCAAGCTCCATTGGAAAATTACGTAAAGAGATCTTGTAGATTTCGACTCGTAGAAATTATTTTTCGCTTTATTTCTTCGAAAATAATGAAGATTTTTTTCGGAAGCCATAAAACGAAAAACAAACTTTGAGATATTAAAAAAATATCAAATTCAAACGACATTTTTCAAAAATCTTAGTCCGGGAAAACCAAGACGTTATATTTCTTGAATCCGCACATCGAAATGTATTTGCCACATTTTTTTAGATATTTTAGTCAATTTTTCGGTCTCAATTTTTCAATGTTTTATTATTTTTTTGACCGTTTTTCGAGCATCCTTCGAAAATTACTTAGACATTTTCTTGTAGATTTCGACTAATAGAAATAATTTTTAGCTTCATTTGTTCGAAAAACAATCAACAATTTTTTCAGAATCGATAAAATTGAAAACAATTTTCGAGAGATTAAAAAATATATTTCCAAATCAAATTTTTCAGGAAAATCTTAGTCCGAGGCCACCAACACGTTTTTTGAAATCAGTTCATCGAAATATATTTTCTAGAATCTTTTTAGAATTTTCAGGCAACTTTTCAAAAATCTCAGTTTTTCTAATTTTTTATTAATTTTTTTACCGTTTTTCAAGCTCCACTGGAAAATTACGTAAAGAGATCTTGTAGATTTCGACTTGTAGAAATTATTTATCGCTTTCTTTCTTCGAAAATCATGAAGATTTTTTTCGGAAGCCATAAAATGAAAAACAAACTTTGAGATATTAAAAAAATCAATTTCAAACGACATTTTTCAAAAATCTTAGTCCGGGAAAACCAAGACGTATTTCTTGAATCAGCACATCGAAATATATTTGCCAGAATTTTTTTAGAATTTGTGGTCAATTTTTCAAAATCTCAAATTTTCAATTTCTTATTAATTTTTTTATCGTTTTTCAAGCATCTTTCAAAAATTACTCAAAGACATTTTCAAGTACATTTCCTCGAAAAATAATCGGAGTCGATAAAATAAAAAACAATTTTCGAAAATAATTCCAAAATCAAAAATCCAAATTACCATAAGGTACCAAATATACCCAAAACTCCAGCGGCTTGGTCTGGATGTTATTAAGTTATTATGTTCCACCTGTCCAACCAGGAAGGAACGTGCCAAGATTTACGATTTTCACACAAGCCCAACGTATTTGCTTTGTCCGAAATCAACCAAGCGCCAAAACCAAAATAAATATTAACATCCCATTCGGAGACCGAAATGACCGGTGCCGTTACATAACAGTCTTAACCTTTTAGTGTAGTTCCTTGGAATGCCAATAACTAATTCTTTTTACTTTATTTGATGTAAATTCAGCGCCCGAATAATTTATTTCATGCATTTATAATTTTTTTTAAAGTCGCGCGTCATTAGAAATCCGAACGTTCGTCCTCTGTTTACAAAAACAAATGCGTACCGTTTTTCTCAATCTCAGTGATGCAACTGTGTGGCAAAAAACGCTCCATGTTCGACCGATTGCGTGAGAGCAAAACCGCTTCTGAAATGCGAATGTTAATTTTGGCACATCATCAGGTGCCGGTTTATCTCTCTACACGTTCATTTTGAAAAATTTTCAGGTAGTCAAAATCACCGAAAAAATCTCGCCTATCAATCAGCGTCAAATTTAAAACCCATTAGAAACCCCCTAATGTGAATACCTCTCCAAATCCATCAAGTTCATTCACTTTCACTCCACCGCGTCCATAGAGAAACTCAAACTCGAACTCCGTTGCGAAATCGCCAAAATCGCGCTTTCCACCCGGCCCTCGCCAAGGTCGCCCCCAAGAGCGCCGCTCGCGTCCGCGAAGGGGGGCGCCTCCCCTCCCGGCCGCATGGGGGGGACCGGCCCAACTTGATCAGGTGTAACGTGCCGTTAGCCTCTCAGTCGCGATCCCTCCGTCACGCGCGCGCAACGTTTCGGCCTTCCTCCCTCATCCTCAGTGCCTGCGGGAACCCCCGGCCGCGCCTGCGTCCTCCCTTCCCGCGCCACTTTCTAATCGTTTTTGCTCACCTTCGCGCCACTTGGCTGGGTTGCGTGCGTCCAGATGGGTAACTTTATGGGTTAGTGTGACTGCGGCGTCGACGCTTTCCTGCTCGGAACTGGTTTTCCGTTTTTTCATTGAAAACTAATTGAGTTCACCAAACTGGTTTCGGTTTGACGTAAGAGCGACGAGCCCCCCACCCCCGACGTCGATTTTTCTTTAATTCCGCTGCGCGCTCCAGGGCCGGAATGAAGTAGAGTGTCGGCCGGAAAAAGTGCTGTGAGTGAAGTGAGTCGAGTCTGAGAAAAACTATTGCTTGCAACGAAAAATGAAAGGAAGAGAGAAACTCTGTGCCAAACTGAGCAGCGCTTTCCTGAGAAAGTGGTGTAAGTATCAAGGCTTAGAACGCTGCGAAATGTTCATTCCATGGGCGTGCGTCCCGGGTTTCGGCACATCGCTTGGGAAATCGCGAGGTCAAAGAAAACGGATCGTCTGAACCGGAGCGCAAAGTGAGCGTTTTCTGGACGAAACGTCATTTCCTATGACTACCGTTTTTTTCTTTGGTGAATTATGAAACGCTGGTGATAACGTAGCGGTGATAAGAAACCACTAATTCGTCAGTTGTCGCCGACACAAATTAACGTAATTATGGCCGAATTCCTGTCCAGTGTGTCGGCAAATACATAATGATTAATTAACACAAAATAGTTTGCATAACTTGGCGCTTTTGCGATAACAAAGCGATTTTGCTTTGATTAAACACGGAATCGGGGAGTCGGACACATCGAGCGAAGCTCCGGACTCGCGCTATTACCGCAAAAAATGTTCGTATCGTGTTGCTATACATTTTTTTCAATTAAACAGAACGGGTTAATTGCAAAGTCTTATGTAATTTTCATGTTACTTGTAATGTACGTGATTAGTGTAAGAGGTTTTAATATGTCTATAATTTACCTTTAGTCGAACGTAGTGAAAAAATTTGTTGGAGCGGAGCTCGAATTATATAACATTTATATTATTTATTTTGAAAATGATGATGAAAATGTTACAATAATCATAATAAATAAAAATGGAGCTCTTTAAATTATCGTTTCATATAATTATTACCGACTTGTTTGGTAATTGGTTTGGTCGATGTCGAAATAAGGAAAGTTTTAAATAACAAATTTGTGAGATATTTGACAAAGTTAATGTCTTCTTGGTTTTGCCTAAGGTGTGTTTTAATTGACAAGGTTTATTTTTGGTGTCAAATTTTTCGATGATTTTTTGCTTTGTTCAGATTGTCTTGCGAAGTGTTGTATTTTTTCTTGTTTCGCATGCTTGTGATGCTTTTATTTGCTTTGTGGCAAAATTATGCAAGAGTTAAGTAATATGTGTTAAACATTCATGAAGTCTGTATTGTTTTCGATTTTATTTAAAATGTCTATTTTAAATTGCAATGTTTATCTGGGCTCTCAAGATTTGGATAAATTTTGTTTGCTTAGTGTAAAACGACGAACATTTTTAGTAACAGATTAGTCAGAAAATGTACACTTGCTTAATAAAAATATACCACACATTTTAAATAACAAATTCGCCAAAAAATTTTAAAAATTTAAATGCGCACTTTTCGTTGCTTGGTGTAAAATGACAAACAAATTAAATTTAACTAACTAGATTTGTAAAAAATACTTTAAGTTAATGAAACTCTTTTTTTTTACTTCATTCAAAGAAAGACCATTTTTAATGTTATAAAGTTGTATCATTATAATATAATTTTTTGAAAATTTTCATAGTTTGATGTAAAATGACATAACTGTCAAAATTGTATAACTGTTTGACAAAAATGTAACACAAATTTTAAATAAAAAAATTGTCAAGAATATTAAAAAGTTTAATTGCCCTGTTTATATGTTGAAGGATGTAAGGTTTTAATCAATTTAAATATTGCTTGATGTAAAATGACAAAAAATTAAATTAAATAGAACATTGAAAAATACCTAAAATTAATGAAACATTTTTATTTCCTTCTAAAAAGGCCATTTTTAAAACTATAAAGTTATTTGGAGTTTAATACAATTTTTAAATATTTCGTTAGTTGATGTAAAATGACAAAAGGTTTAAGTGAGATAGCTGTCAAAATCGTAGAATCAATTGACAGAAATGCAGGCCAAATTATAAATTTGTCAAGAATATTTACGAAATTTAGATAGAAAATATCCTTAACGAATATATTTTCTATCTAAATTTCGTCTTGATTTGATGTATGATCTAAGTTTCTTAATAAATTTTAATTGCTTTGTGTAAAACGACAAAACAATTAAATTAAATTAAACAAAATAGTAAAAATGACTAAAATTAATGAAACTTCTGTACTTCCTTCTAAAGAAATCATTTTTAAAGCTATGGAGTTATCTGTCTTAAAATATAATTTTTTGAAAGTTTTGACAGTTTGACGTAAAATGACATAAATCTCAAAATCCCACAATCGATTAACAAAAATATGGCACAAATTTTAAGCAACAAATTCGCCAGGAATCTTTAAAAATCTAAATGCCCCAACTGATTAGATGTAAAATTTAAGTTTTTTTACTCAATTTTAATTGTTTGGTGTAAAATGACATAACTGCCAAAATCGTAGAATTGTTTGACAAAAATGTAGCACACATTTTAAATAATAAATCCGCCAAGGATATTTTCTATATAAATTTGTTCTTGATTTGATGTATGATCTAAGTTTCTTGATAAATTTTAATTGCTGCGTGTAAAATGACAAAAAAATAAAATAAATTAAATTAAACAGAATCGTAAGAAATGACTAAAATTAATGAAACTTTTCTGTTTCCTTCTAAAGAAATCATTTTTAAAGCTATGAAGTTATCTGTCTTATAATATAAATTTTTGAAAGTTTTGATAGTTTGACGTAAAGTGACATAAATGTCAAAATCCCACAATCGATTGACAAAAATATAGCACAAATTTTAAGCAACAAATTCGCCAGGAATTTTTAAAAATCTAAATGCCCCACTTGATTAGATGTAAAATGTATGTTTTTTTTACTCAATTTTAATTGTTTGGTGTAAAATGACACAAATGCTAAATTTGTTTGAATTAAACAGAATAGTAAGAAGTACCTAAAGTTAATGAAACTTTTTTATTTCATCCTAAAAAAGATCATTTTTAATGCTGTAAAGTTATGTTTTATAATATATTTTTTTGAAAATTGTCATAGTTTGACGTAAAATGACATAATTGTCAAAATCGTACAATTGTTTGACAAAAATGTAGCACTAATTTCAAATAGTAATAATAAACAGAATAGTAAGAAATGACGAAAATTAATGAAACTTCTTTATTTCCTTCTAAAGAAATCATTTTTGAAGCTATAAAGTTATCTGTCTACTAAAATATTTTTTTAAAAGTTTCGTTAGTTTGATGTAAAATGACAAATAGTTTAAATAACATAACTGTCAAAATCGTAGAATGATTTGACAGAAACATAGCATAAATTATAAATTTGCCACGAATATTAAAATATTTAAATGCCTCCTTGATTTATTGTAAGATATAAGTTTTTTAATCAATTTTACTTCCTTAGCGTAAAATGACAAAACATTTTATAAATTAAATAGAAGAGTGAAAAATACTCAAAATTAATGAAACATTTTTAATTCTTTCTAAAAAAAGGACATTTTTAAAGCTATAAAGTTGTCTGCCTTCTGATATAATTTTTTAAAAGTTTCGTTAGTTTGATGTAAAATGATAACAAGTTTAAATGACAACTGTTAAAATCGTAGAAATCATTTGACAGAAATATAGCACAAATTATAAATTTGCCAAGAATATTTAAAAATCTAAATGCTTCTTGATTTATTATAATACATAAGTTTTTTAACTAGTTTTAATTGCTTAGTGTAAAATGACACAAAATTAAATTAAATTAGACAGAATAGTGAAAATCCTAAATTAATGAAACTTTGTAATTTCTTTCTAAAAAGGGCAATTTTTAAAGCTATAAAGTTATCTGTCTTGTAATATAATTTTTTAAAAGTTTCGTTAGTTTGATGTAAAATGACAAATAGTTTAAATAACATAACAGTCAAAATCGTAGAATCATTTGACAGAAATATAGCACAAATTATAAATTTGCCAAGAATATTTAAAAATCTAAATGCCTCTTGATTTATTATAATTCCTAAGTTTTTTAATCAGTTTTAATTGCTTAGTGTAATAACACACAAAATTAATTTAAAGTAGACAGAATAGTGAAAATCCCAAATTAATGAAACTTTGTAATTTCTTTCTAAAAAGGACATTTTTAAAGCTATAAAGTTATCTGACTTCTAATATAATTTTTTAAAAGTTTCGTTAGTTTGATGTAAAATGATAACAAGTTTAAATGACAACTGTTAAAATCGTAGAAATCATTTGACAGAAATATAGCACAAATTATAAATTTGCCAAGAATATTTAAAAATCTAAATGCCTCTTGATTTATTATAATACCTAAGTTTTTTAACTAGTCTTAATTGCTTAGTGTAAAATGACACAAAATTAAATTAAATTAGACAGAATAGTGAAAATCCCAAATTAATGAAACTTTGTTATTTCTTTCTAAAAAGGGCAATTTTTAAAGCTATAAAGTCTTGTAATATAATTTTTTAAAAGTTTCGTTAGTTTGATGTAAAATGACAAATGGTTTAAATAACATAACTGACAAAATCGTAGAATCATTTGACAGAAAAATAGCCTAAATTATAAATTTTCCACGAATATTAAAATATTTAAATGCCTCCTGGATTTATTGTAAGATATCTTTTTTAATCAATTTTACTCGCTTTGTGTAAAATGACAAAACATTTTATAAACTAAATAGAAAAGTGAGAAATACTCAAAATTAATGAAATATTTTCATTTCTTTCTAAAAAAAGGACATTTTTAAAGTTATAAAGTTATCTGCCTTCTGGTATAATTTTTTAAAAGTTTCGTTAGTTTGAATTAAAATGATAACAAGTTTAAATGACAACTGTTAAAATCGTAGAAATCATTTGACAGAAATATAGCACAAATTATAAATTTGCCAAGAATATTTAAAAATCTAAATGCCTCTTGATTTACTATAATAGTTAAGTTTTTTTAATCAGTTTTAATTGCTTAGTGTAAAAACACACAAAATTAAATTAAATTAGACAGAATAGTGAAAATCCCAAATTAATGAAATTTTGTTATTTCTTTCTAAAAAGGGCAATTTTTAAAGCTATAAAGTTATCTGTCTTGTAATATAATTTTTTAAAAGTTTCGTTAGTTTGATATAAAATGACAAATAGTTTAAATAACGTAACTGTCGAAATCGTAGAATCATTTGACAGAAATATGGCATAAATTATAAATTTGCCAAGAATATTAA